GTGTGAGCTCTTCTGCTCTCCTGGTCTTTCTTGGTGCGGTCTAGGGTGTGCCTTTCTTTAGGCCCCTTTTCCTGCCCCTGTGGTGTCCCCCGTTGCTTCCCGGTCTTGGCTTGACCGGGCCCCTCCCTTGTGGTCGGCTTCTGTCTCTGTCTCTCTTCCTCTCTCTGCTTCCTTCTCCCTTTTTCTTCCCTCTTCTCCTCTTCTTCCCTTCTTTCCCTTCTGGGTGCCTTGGATTCTGGTGGATGTGGTTCGCCCCCACCCGAGAGCGTATTTTGTTGTTTTAGTGTTTTTGCCTTGATCTGGAGGGATCTCCCCCTTCCCTATCAAAAAAATCCTTTTTCTTATACAGAAAAATTCCTTTATTCTTCACACTCCATGCACAACACCATGCACATGCACTTCATGCATACACAAACACATATCCATCCCCTTCACATATACCATGCACATACTTATATACATTTAATCCATGCATGCATGCATATAAAACATGCACATACCAACTTATGCATGCATATACTCACATCAATATTCCATGCATACATATACATGCTACATATATATATATATATATATATATATCAATTAATCACATACTCATTTAACCACGAAATCATATAATAGTTACCTCCAAGTATAACTGGAACTTTGTTATCACAATTGTTTGGATTGAAATAATCGAATCACGTTCGATCGTATGATTGAGGTTAGTTTACTTGTATGTGTGTGACTCTTTGGGATCGTGTATCATTAGCCGTATCGTCAAATTTAGTGTCATGGACATATAGATCCAACATAAATTACCTGTTCTCTTTTAAATCAAATAATCTAAAATATAGTCAATATTTTATCTAAATAAATTGTGCAAAAAAAAAAAAAAAAAGAACGAGAACTTCATTATGTTTAATTTAAGATCCATGATGACTGATACACACACACACACAGAGGGATGAGTTCCGATAAGAATGAAAATCATGATAAGACAGGTAAGAATGAATCTTAACCTCGAATCAATCCAAATTGAAGATCAACATTAATATAATACACCAGATCAATTCATATGAGAAATACAAGTAATAAGATGAGTGTAAAACTAAAAGTACTTCTTACACTTTATTTATATATGATCATTTGTGTGGAATATTAACAAAGTTCAAAAAGGCGTGAGACGTGGCGTGTCGGCAAGGTCAAACCTTAAGCCTTACACGTCACGATGGGGACGTGACATTTTTCAATGCATCACATAAGACGACAAATTTGTATGTCATATATAGAATTATATATATATATATATATATGTTTTTTATATATTATCTAATCAAATAATGATATTAAAAAATGTACAATCATATTAGAAGAAGAAAAATCAGATAGATTATTATTATAAAAATTGGTTTTTAATTAAATATTTAAATATTAAAATATAACTTAGAAAAGTAATTTTACAATTTCATTTAACTGTAAGTCTGTAACGTTTATGACTTTGTGAAATTGTGAGTGATGTGATTAGTTAGATCTATAAAAATATAAAATCTAAAGTTAAAAGTGTAAAATACAAATGATAAAAAATAAAAAAAAGTAATTTTTTTTGAAGAAAAAAATCACGTATTACAAGAAACGCACGCCACAACATTCCTTAAGACGCCACGACATGTCATAACGTTCCTCAAGACGCCATGGCATGAGCCACACCTTACATAAACACTATAAACAATTTCGTAACAACAGAAACCCGTCTTGCCCCACATCGTATCATGACATATATCATGACACGTGTTCATAACTTATATGTACAAAGGCTTCACACGTTTCTACTTCCAATAAAAATGGGGTACAACATTTTATTATCTTCATCCTAATTTCCCCTTTGTGGTTTAGAAATCAAACAAAATTGGCCGAAAAATAACAATCACAGATAATTCCATACGAAAATTTCCACCCCCTCTTCTCCATCCATCTTCCCTTTACGCCAAAAGGGGGGGATACAGAGTTCTTCCACCCTATGCTTTCAACAACAATGGATTTGACCACTAAACTTCAGTTCATCGACCTTCGTTCCACTTTCCTAACTGGAACTGCCCTCTCCGACCTACGTAAACCCTGTTTTCGCCCACGTATTCGCCCAATTTCCACACCCATACACAATTGTTCGAGTAAACCCACAAAGATATTCCACACACATCATTCAATTAGATTATCTGCGGTTGCTGTTGATAGTGAAACTAGTAGTATTACTAGTGTAGATGGAGACGATATAGAGAGTCTGTTTTCGAAAGACTCAGAAACAGTGGATTATCGACGAGGGAACAAACAATCGGGAAGTGGGGCGTCGAGTATCTCATCTGGTGTTAGATTAGAGAACATTAGTAAGAGCTATAAGGGTGTTACAGTGTTGAAAGATGTGAGCTGGGAAGTGAAAAAGGGAGAGAAAGTAGGGTTAGTAGGGGTTAATGGTGCTGGGAAAACTACCCAGTTGCGGATTATTGCGGGTATGGAAGACCCCGATTCGGGTAACATTGTGAAGGCTAAGCCCAATATGAGGATATCATTTTTGAGCCAAGAATTCGAAGTTTCACTGACTAGGACGGTTAGGGAGGAGTTTCTGAATGCGTTTAAGGAGGAAATGGAGATTTCTAACAGGTTAGAGAAGGTTCAGAAGGCAATTGAAGGTTCTGTTGATGATTTGGAATTGATGGGGAGGCTTTTGGATGAATTTGATTTGCTTCAGAGGAGGGCACAGGCTGTGAATTTGGATATTGTTGATGTAAAGATTAATAAATTGATGCCTGAACTTGGGTTTTCGCCAGAGGATGCAGATAGGCTGGTGGCGTCTTTTAGTGGTGGTTGGCAGATGAGGATGTCACTTGGGAAAATATTGCTTCAGGTATACATGATCAGTTTCAATCTATGTTTGGTTTATGATGCTGAAATTAAAAGATTGATTCAATTGATGTTGTTAATCTATATCTATTATTCTTCAATTTAGCAAGTTGTTACTGATTTCTGTGAATGGCACAACTAGATAGAACCATTATTCTTCAAGATTTCTTACTTCTTAAGAGTAGAAAGATTTGATAAAGAAAGTATAATCAGTTGCATTTGAATCTATGGCATGATTTTTTTTTGGATATGACCATTTTCGTTATTCTCATCTAGTTATGGTGGATAGAGATGCTGATATGAATAACTTCATTCGGATACAAAATCTGAAGAATGTGTGTCATGATTGAATATGTTAATTTTTGCAGGATCCAGATTTATTACTACTGGATGAACCTACGAACCATCTTGATCTAGACACGATTGAGTGGCTTGAAGGTTATCTTAACAAGCAAGATGTTCCAATGGTGATCATATCTCATGACAGGGCTTTTCTTGATCAATTGTGCACAAAAATAGTGGAGACTGACATGGGTGTTTCTAGAACGTTTGTTGGAAGCTATTCCGACTATATTATTGGTAAGGCAGCATGGATTGAAGCTCAGTTTACAGCTTGGGAGAAGCAACAGAAGGAAATTGAGCATACAAGAGGCTTAATTAGTAGGTTAAGTGCCGGAGCAAATTCCGGACGTGCGTCCACTGCTGAAAAGGTATTATCTTTAAGTTATTTTATGTGCATAATCTAAAGGATATCTTGTTGCTAGCTTGCATATGTGGGTCTCATGAAGGGTTAATTGCCAGAAAAAAGAAACATACAATGTGTCATTCACTGTTTTGACAAAAAAAGAGTAGACCACTAATCAACTTGATGAATTTCTTTTTCAAAATTGACTAGAAGCATCTTGATGTCGTGTTGCTTATCTAAAGCAAAGCAAACAAAATGAAACCAGTGAAACCCACAGGATTGGGAGGGTAGGCAGTTTCCGGAAGACCCCTAGCTTGTAAAAAGGTTTTGAGAAAAGAATTTAACGACCATAAATGTTTTTGAGATGTTTGAAAGAGATAAAGGATACATATTAGAAATGCAGGTACTATAGACGAAGGAGTAACATGAAAGTATAACTTATCTATCATGTCAAAATGCTTATGTTTATTGTGTGACACATTGTGTTTCCTGCCGAAATTTTCTTATAGGAATCATTAATTGGAGAATAAAGATGAATATGGTTTGACAAGTTAGCTAAAGTTAGTGTTGTGAAAATCATCATGAAGCGATGCAGCCACGTGACTGCTTAATTGTCTTGGCAGGGATAAGCGGATGCTGTTACAAACACTTGACAGTTGACATCTAGGCAGTCTATTAAGCGACCGACCTCTTAAGTGTCGTAGCCTAAGCTAGGATTTTACACTAACTAAAGATAATAACATTAAACCACTGAATGATTTATAGTCCGTTTGTCTCTTTGGTAATTAATCCCCATGACTTCCACTGATGCTTTGAAGATGAGTGTCTGTATGCTTTTCCTTGCTAATTCAGTTTATAACTTGAAAACCAGGATCGTTGGTAATGATATTTTACTGGAATAACAAAAAATGTTCGGCACTTTAACCTACTTATGTGGTAATTAAAGTGGGTTTTCTTTAAACTTGGTGGTGTTACTTATTTGTCCAAAATTAAGAAGTCAAAGGTCAACTGCTTAATCTATTTCTCATGGAAAAAACACCTACAGGATGGAAATGAAAACTGAAACGGGATAAAACAAAACGAGTGATTACCTTTTTGCACCATCATGCTTAGCTTTTTGTTACAAACAAAGCATCGTCTTTTGTGAAAATGTAAAAATGAAAATTGATCTTTGAAAGAATGAGTACTTTTCCATAGAAAGTGTCAAGTTCAATGGTTTCATTTACTTACTTATTTTTGCATCTACTTTTACATAATTTAGCTTATAGGTTCTAGGGTTCTATTCCTTTTTTTTTTCTTTTCTTGGAATAACGATGACTTATTTGCAACAGAAACCAGTAAGTTCAAAAAGCTACTCTCTTTTGATTATCATTCACCATTATTGTCCTGTCATTTCTTTACAAGTCAGCTGCATGCTATAGTACTTGAATCAAAACATGTCTGAGTTATTTACTTTTTCTTCCAGTAAACTTACACTCCCTTTACACTTGTGTTGTATGATAACAGAAGCTAGAAAAGCTTCAGGAAGAGGAACAAGTTGATAAACCATTTATTCGGAAACAAATGAAGATCAGATTCCCAGAACGTGGAAGAAGTGGAAGATCCGTTGTGACAGTAAAAAATCTGGAATTTAGCTATGAAGATGAGGTAATTATTAATAGATTAACAGCAACAAAGAATGGTCGAATCATTTGACCTTTATTTCTGATAAATATGTAGTAAGATCATGTTTTTGGTATGGTTATCCAGGTCCTCTTTAAAAAGGCCAATATCTCAATTGAAAGGGGTGAGAAAATTGCTATAATTGGGCCAAATGGTTGTGGAAAGAGTACTCTTCTGAAGTTGATTATGGGTTTAGAAAAGCCAAATAGTGGTGAAGTTATTCTTGGCGAACACAATGTGCTACCAAACTACTTTGAACAAAATCAGGTTATGCATATTTCTTTTTCTTCATAATTTGTTGATGTTAATGATGAATTAGTGCCTCCTCCCTCCCATGAAAGTTTCATCATTTGACATGCCCTTTCTTTTAGAGGAAGTGTTAATGTTGAATAGGAGAATCTTGTGGACCCAAACCATAATCATCTGCTTTTATGCTTATCGCAATAGGGAAAAAGGTAATTCTTAGCTCTATAGGGTTGCCATAAAAGGAAAAAAAATTGCAATTTTCTTGGTAGAAAGTGCCACGTATATTATTGCAATTTTCATGGGACGGGAATATGTATCCTCGTCTCACATTTGTATTACACTCATATTCTACTTTCCTAGTAGTAATTAATCAAATTGATACCTTTAATAATTACCGGGTCATCACAGAAACAGCCACTCTACTCTTTGAGAGTAAAGGTCAGCTTATATCCCACCCTTCAGACCCTACCCCCGGGTGGCTCGTTTGGTTTGGTTTGGTTTCTACCCTTTCATAGTGACAAAATACAGAAATCAATTGGACACAAATCAACTTCATCAATCTTTTGTAATGATGATGAGCAATCAGTAATATTAGCTCAAGTTGCTGAAAAAAGAAAAGAAATGTTGCAATATTCATAAAATGAAGGGATTATTTATCATTTTCTTATGTTTCTGTTATGCTCATATTCTAGGTTCCCAGTAATAATTACTTGATCCTAATTTCCAGGCCGAGGCTCTTGATTTAGACAAATCCGTGCTCGATACTGTAGCCGAAGTTGCAGAAGACTGGAGACTTGATGACATAAAGGGTCTCCTTGGACGTTGCAATTTTAAAGCCGATATGCTAGACCGGAAAGTCTCTCTGTTGAGCGGTGGTGAAAAGGTAAATCTTTCCTAGCTTTCTTCTGCAGTTATTTACCTATTTCGTATTTCCAGAAGGGCAATATAATCTTTTTCTGCGTTGACATAGAATTAGTTGTACACCCTTTGTTAATAATGTAAAACCATCATAATTCTTGAGAAGATAAAATTCAAAGATCAAGAACATGAATAGTACTTTGCTTTTTTCTAAATCCATACCTCAAAAGAGTTTCATGAGGATAGCTAGATGCAATTCACTGATCCTTTAGCAAGTCTCATGAAAATTACAACATTTTCTTTGACGGAGTTTTACTAATCTATAAATATCTAAAATGCTCTTTCATTAGTGGCAAGATAGAAGGATTCTTGTGAATCCAAATTAATATCAACAAATTTTCATATTGGTGACAATGAACAAAAAGGTAATTGTAACATGAATTTCCAAGGGGGAGAAAGGAAACCTTGCAATTTTAATGTTGCATCTAAAGATAATATTATTTGTGGGATGAAGGGAGTATTGGAATTGTAAATGTTTGTTCTAAGTAAGGTGAAAAATATAGTAAAAAATATTTGGTAAATTTTATTGTACATCTCATATAATCCGCTTTTAGTGTCTCAAATCATGTTATCATCCTTGAGAAGTTCAAATTAACTTGTTTTTTTTTCTTTTCTTTCAGGCCCGGCTTGCGTTTTGTAAGTTCATGGTGAAGCCTTCCACTTTATTGGTGTTGGATGAGCCGACTAATCACTTGGATATACCTTCCAAAGAAATGCTTGAGGTTTGGTTTATCTTTGATTCACATCTTTATGTATGTTGCCTTTTTATGAGTAACTGATTTTAGAAGCCAATTGTAATTATCAAAATTCAAAAAAAAAAAAAAATAAAGAAAAATAAATGAAACCAAACAAGCATGATTGATTTTGCACAAATTGTGGAAATGTGAATACAAAAAGATCATCATACCGGGCACTTATCCGAACCATAAGGAAATTAAATAGGTGCTGTTTTACATTGTGAAACAAATATTCCCTCTTCCCCAAAATAAGTGTGTTTGTGTTTCTGTTTTAGTTTGTCCTAAAATAAGTATCTACTTTTATTTTTGAAGTATATAATATTTATATATAGTAAACTCACACACACTTGTCTTTTGCGAGACTTGAACCCTTGACCTCTAGGAAGGTTGGGTTACAAGGGACCGGTGCGCCAAAGGCCCTCCGGTAATAAGTGTCCACTTTCAAAAGTAAGTCTCTGCTTTCGCATTCTACCCTCAATTTATGAAATGGAGAAAATTTCTGTTTATTATTATGGGTAAAAGTGTAATTTGGTTGATTAAAAAGTGTAATAATTACACATTTCTAAAATCTGTGTCAGTTTTAATGTGGACATTGATTTTGGGACGGAGGGAATACATGTAAAACAAATACATTATGAAATAAATACATGTGAAACAATACATGTTTCACATTGAGATTGGTTCTCTTGGGTTCTCAACATTTATGTGCTCTCACATGGTCTCTCTCTCTCTCTCTGTGTATATAATATATATATATATATATATATATGGAAAAGATTCGGAGAGAACCACGAAAAGAGGAACCGAAAAACTTATCCAAACCATTAGATTGAGATGATCTTACGGGTGAGATTAAAAAGATGGCTATAGCCACCATCTTTTAAAGATAAAAAATATCCTCTCCCCCTATTTTGTTCTCTTTAATTTGACATCAATGGTGATGTACTTTTTCATCCGTTTTTCGTGATTCTTCGGTTCTTTTTTTGGGGTTCTACTGTATCTCGCCTCTCTCTCTCTCTCTCTCTCTCTTTATACACACGCACACACATGCACACACATATAGACACATACACAATAGCTCGAAAAGTCGGTTACTCTTTTCTTTAACTTGCTTATTGTGCACGCACTACTTCTTGTTGTGGACTGATGTTATGAACACTGTTTGTTCTTTAGGAAGCAATTTCCGAGTATGAGGGAACTGTCATTACCGTTTCTCACGATCGATACTTTGTAAAGCAAATAGTGAATAGAGTTTTAGAAGTTAAAGATGGCAGTCTACAAGACTATATGGGTGACTACGATGTAAGTTTGTCTTCTTTTGCACCAATTTTATTTACGCTTCTTGCTTCAACCACATCTTTATCTAGTGATTGCCAGAAATATCATGCGTGGGATATAGTATTGAATCGTGTTCATTGAACCAAATTGACCCAAACCGGCCAGTCTGGTCTAGTCTTAAGGATGACGCAGCTTGGACCAGTTCAGAAAACGATGCAAATTATTTGATTTTGTGGTTGTAGGTGTTAGAACCTAGCAAAACCAAACGTGTCGTATTAAATCTTGTTAGGTAAATCAATCTTGTGTAAAAAATGATTAATGGGATGGATGATGTGGTTAAATTTAGAAAACCATGGATATCTAACACCATCTATATGGGTTATTCATAAGAATAACCTCATAGATATTTTTTAGAATGCGTGACCTTTTGACAGATTTTGAGGCATATTTGTGTTAGGAAGAGTCGTTTCTCTGTTAGGCATATGCGTGCTTAGATCTGTCGAAAGGTCAAAAAAGAAGCGTTGGCTGCTACTTTGGGATGTGAGCGAAAGCGTACATTTCCTTTTCCTGGCAAAGTTTCGAGCTGCAATTACTTATTTCACCATTATCATCGTGTTACATTGATGCCAACGATTTTGATCAGCAAAACTATTCCATTCGTCGTGACATAAAGGCACTTTAGATATATTAGCAGAAGCAATAATTGTATGTTGATTTGAATTCAACAGTACTATCTTGAGAAGAATCTCGAGGCAAGAGAAAAGGCGCTTGAAAGAGAAGCGGAGCTAGAGGAGAAGTCCCCGAAAGCAAAAGCCAAATCCAAGATGTCAAAGGTAACACATTAACCGCGTTTACGATTTCTTTTTTTAGTTCAATACTACAACAAAATTGTGTTTATAGGGTGCGATAAATGTCCTAGTAGACTGCCCTTACATGACTAAAGTTTATAGGATCGTTTTTTGTGTCCCATGTAAAAGTGTTACAATATGTTTATAGGATGCTTTTGGGCGTATTAACAAGTATTTTATGAATTTTTTTGAATTAAAACGCTATATTAACGACATTATTTGAAAAAATGTCTTATAAAAAGATGTGTTAGTATGATACTTCTCAAATGTGTCATGTAACATAAAAAAGCTAACAGTATAAACTTGTTGTAACACTTTTTAAAAAACGCTATAAAAACCCGAGTCATGTAAAGCAGCCTATTTTATTTAGACATTCTTGGGGTCTTAATAAACCCGATCTTACTGTAGTGTGAACTATTATAGCATTTGTTGATGTCGTGTTAATATGTTTAAAGGCGGAAAGAGAAGCGCGCAAGAAGCAAAAAATGCAGGCGTTCCAGCAAGCGAAACAGAAATCAAAGGGACTGAAGAACGCTAAAAGATGGAACTGAAGAATCAAGTGAGGCAATACACATTCCCGACCCGTGTTCATTTGTACATATTTTACGTGATATATAGGAATAGATTATCGATCTTAAACTATGCGCTTCGCGACATTTTTGGCTCGTACCAAACTTTCGCAATCCGAAAACTTCAGGTTATCTTTCACAAGATGGTTTATGTATTGATGCCAGATAAGAGGGTTTTGAATACGGAAAAGTTAAAAAAAACCCAATGAACTATCTCATTTTGAATGATTAAGTCCTGAATTAATTTCTTTGAATGAAAAAAACCATTAAACTTTCTTATTTTGAATGATTAAGTCTTCGAATGATTTTTTTGAATAAAAAAAACTATTAAACTCTCATTTTGAATGATTAAGTCCTTATACAACTTTTTCCAATAAAAAAAACTACCCATAACTTGCATCATTTTAATTCAAAAAAACTACCTGTAACCGACTAGAAAGTTCTTAAAGTAAAACTACTTGTAACCTATAAAGATAGATGAAAAAGGGACATCGTTGGCAGGGACCAATAGTATGAGAGACGAATGAAGAACGGACAACGATGTGACGACAATGAGTGGCAAGGGGGAGGGATACCGTTGTTTACGAGGGGTATTGAAAAGCGTAGGATTTGGAAACGATAAAACTGATTTACGTTTCTTTTATACTTAAAGACATTTCTAGTCGGTTATAGATAGTTTTTTTTTTGTTAAAAGGATATAGGTAACCAATTTCTAAAAGTTCAATGGTTTACTTGTTACAAAAGAAATATCCAGAGACTTAATCATTCAAAATTAGAAAGTTTAATGGTTTTTTCATTCAAACAATAATTTAGGGACTTAATCATTCAAAATGAGATAGTTCCTTGAGTTTTTATGAACATTTCCCTTTTGAATAATCACTCTCCCATGGAATCCATACAGGAGATGGCATGCTTGTCTCTTGTGTTGATCCCGAAAGCGATAACTATGGTTGTTAAGGTTTGTAAGGCGAGTCGAATATAACACAACTTTTTAAGTTTTCAACTCTTATCGATAATCAAACAATGAAAGAATTACAGATTGTTTGTGGAATACGATAAGGTAAAACCTAATCTAAAACGATTCAAGTTTTACAACTAAGATTACACAAAGAACTTCACACGAAGAACAAATAATATCTCCTGCAACAATACACCAAATGAATATCAACTCCTTTTGGACATGCACTCAAAAAGTGCTCTACATCGTTATCTGTACTTGATGCATTTAATTCACTGTATCAGTACAACCCAGTTGTCAACTATAAGCTTATGGAAACTCAACCAAATTAAATTTACATTTAAATCAAGTAATTTTTTGAATTTCTCAGTTACTATAGTGTCATTCATACTTTCCATAGCAAGTTACAATTTCTAGCATATTACATTTTCTTTTCACTTACTATTTCTACACACTTTCGCTTCTGCATGTTTACATTTTCCGGTATCTTTACATTTCATGCACTTTATGTTTCTTGCATTTCAAGTTTCTTGCAACTTTAAATTCTCATATTTAACTTTTATGCACATTACTTTTATGCTCGTTCCATTCATGTATTTACTTTTTAACTTAGTGTATGTGGATAATTGCTTTTACAATAGAAAATCGGCTCCTCTCTGCACTCGTTGTTGCAATGTCACATCTAGTAATTCTTTTACTCAAATGGAGTTTCTTTCTACAACTTAAATGTTAAAACTTTGAGTGTTTTAGATAGCCATTTTGTACTGCAGCAACCTTCATAAGGTTGGAACTATTTGGTGAGAATAATAAGATGAATACCAAGCTTGGATTTGTGTTCTTTGAATACCGTCAATACATATTCAGTCTGAACTTCGAGAGAAGATTATTCAAACTAGTAGTAGCGTTAAGAGCTATTACTGCAACATCTATTTGAGATGTTGTAGCAATTCCATCACTGAAATCTAAACCTGAACTTGCACTCAAGATTTCTTTTATAATTGTTATTACTCAACATATTGTTAAATCAGGCCACAAGAAAACGTTTCATCGAATTCACCATCTGAAATCATATTTTAAGATTCACTTATTAGAAACTCTCACTTTCCTTGTCCTTGAGGATCGATAACTTGGTATTCTTATCAATCTTGTTTTCATACGGGATGAGTATGTATACTTGTGTATTCTTCCATTTGTCATAGCCGTTTGGGGATGTCTTTCGACATAACATGTTTTTGGTGTTGCTGCTAGGAACAACCAAAGAAAGAGTTTTATTAGTTGTTTTTAAGATCTAATATATCTCAAAACAGAACCACAGTTTAAACTCCTTAACAGAATAGGGTTGCTAAATGAAGAAATCGTACAATCATTGAAGTTTGTTACTCTATGCTCAATGAGTCAACATTACCAACCTATTTTTGGGCTGAAGTAGTAAGCACTGCTTGCTGCACGCAAAACCGTTCTCTCATAGTCAAAAGACTCGAGAAAACTGCATACGAATTTTTTCAATAGAAGGAAGCCAACCATCAGTTTCCTTCATATCTTTAGTTATAAATTCTTCATTTTTAACAACCTTAATTAGCTTGGAAAGTTCATCCCCAAATTTCATGAAGGAATCTTTATGGGCTATTCTTCAATTTCTAAAAGAAATCATCCATATTAAACATGAAGTATAGAAGGAATCATTGTTTTCAACAAATAAAGACATTGTATAGAAGAAATCATCCATATTACCTTTGATGAATCTTATCCAACATCCTTATCCTTCTTCTCAAGTGATGAACGTAATCTGAATTGATGGATGGTCCCTCACTATGGTAAACATGAAGTATCGTCGACTGCCCCTCATACTATTAAAGATCAAGATGCTGAAGAAAATCAAGGAGTGTTGAACCTTGCACCCACACTATCTGGTGACTGATCTTATTCCACATCTACTGGAATAATCGTAACTCAAGTAATACCCACATCAACAAAAATAGTGAACCTGTCTCGGTTAATAAATCCCTTGTTGAACCGAGCACAAATGTTCGTGGTTCTACTTTAGTACCTCAACTAATACAATCAACGAAGAAGGTTCCTGATGGCAGAAAATCGTATAGGTCCCCAAAGTGGCCACCCGTGTTACCACAATTGTTGTACATATGCACACATAACACTATGATTGCTATAAGTAATAAGTGATAATATACCTAAATCATTTCTACAGGTACTAGACAACTAAGAATCAAAGATCTTCATGAACATCTAGTGCAAGTTTCGAGTTTTGATAAAATAATCAATATTTGTTGAGATTTGAAGTTATACTAATTTAATGATTAAAACGAGACAAGTAGTTAAAGAAGACTGTATATGTAAGCATTATCTGTATTCATTGTATCTGGGTTAATGGCTATTGAGTTTTCAATGTAAATGTCACCTATAATTAGGGACATGGGGCTTAGATTTGAATGTTAATCATTCTTTCAATCATTCTGTAATTTCACATGAGAGTCGTTTGAGAGAGATCATAGAGATTGTATTTTACTTTCTAATAAAAGAAGCTAGGGATGGCAAAAAACCCCGAAACCGATGGTGAAAACCGAAACTTTCGGGCCGGGTTCAGGTACATCTTATCGGGGATGGCACGGGGACCGGGGACAAATTCGGGGATTTTAACGGGGACGGGGCGGGGATGGTGATCACCGACCCGGCCCGATATGTATATATATATATATATATAAATTTTAATTTATATATACATATATATAGGGATGGCCAAAAAAACCGAAACCGACGGTGAAAACCGAAAACCGAAACTTTCGGGCCGGGTTCGGGGACATTTTATCGGGGATGGGACGGGGATTGGGGACGAATTCGGGGATTTTAACGGGGACGGGGATGGGGGCGGGGACGGTGATCACCGGCCCGGCCCGATATGTATATATATATATATATTTATTTATTTTAATTTATATATATATATAATCTTTAAAAAAAGTAATATTAAAATTTTAAAAAAAATTATCCACTTTACCTCAACAACCCAAATAAAGCTCACAAAAAGTCTAGTTTATTTGTCAAAAGCCGTGATTTTAGTTGTATGATGTTCGAATTTTTGTTTAGTTTTATATTGTAATCTAATACATTGTTTGTAATTGGTTCAATTATGTTTGAGACATTTAAACTTAGATCTTTAAAAAAATTGTAATTTACTTTTAATTGTGAAAATTAACATATTGTAATTTATTTCATATCGGTTTCGGGTTTCGGGTTTCGGGTTCGGGTTCGGTTATAACCAACGATGAAAAAGAGAACTTTTACCCTTAACGGGTTCCCCAACAGGGATAGGGGAAACTGCGGGGACCCTATGGGGATCCTCGATAAGATCCCCGACGGGATCGGGACGGTTACGAGGATGATTTTAGCTATCGGTTTCGGGGACGGGGATACCAATACCCGGCCCGAACCCGGCCCGTTGCCATTCCTATATATATATATATATATATATATATATATATATGACTTGAGATCATGTGAGACCAACCTGTTTTCGTGAGACCCGTGAGACCAACATTTTACACTTAAAACTTCACAGCAAAATGCTGTGAAGGTGACTTTTTAAAACCTTCACAGTGTTTTTGCTGTGAAGGTTCGACTTTTTTTAAACCTTCACAGTGTTTTTGCTGTGAAGGTTACGTGTAAAAATGTGGTCTNACCTTCACAGTGTTTTTGCTGTGAAGGTTACGTGTAAAAATGTGGTCTCACGGGTCTCACGAAAACAGGCTGGTCTCACGTGAACCCAACCCATATATATATATATATATATATATATATATATAATATCATTAAAAGAAAATAATAACATTAAAATTTAAAAGACTTTTATCCACTTTACCTCAACAACTTAAATAAAGCCCACTAAAAAGTCTAGTTTATTTGTTTAAAATCGTGATTTTAGTTGTATGATGTTTGAATTTCTATTTAGTTTTATATTGTAATCTAATACATTGTTTGTAATGGTTCAATTATGTTTGAGACATTTAAACTTACATCTTTAAAAAAATTGTAATTTACTTTTAATTGTGAAAATTAGCATATTGTAATTTTTTTCCAGATCAGGTTAGGGTTCGGTTATAACCATCAGTGAAAAGGAGGATTTTTACCCTTAACGGGTTCCCCAACGGGGATCGGTGAAACCGCGGGGACCCGATGGGGATCCCCGACAGGGATCGGGGCGGTTACGGAG